CTCTCACTGTGCTAGTCATTCACCCAGCCAGCCATCCACCCACTCATCCACCCACCCACCCATCCATCCATCTGCCCATCCACCCACTTGCTCATTCGCCCACCCACCCATCCACTCATCTGCCCATCCGCCCATCCATCCATTTATTCATCCACCCATCCGCCCATCCACCCATCCGCTCATCTACCCATTCGCTCACTCATCCACCCACTCATCCACTTCTCCAACCATCCATCCACCTACTCATCCACCCAGCCACTCATCCACCCACACCCATCCACCCATTCATCTATCCATCCACCCATCCGCCCATCCACCCACCCACTCACTCACCTACCCATCCATCCATCCACCCATTCACTCATCCATCCACTCACCCATCCACCCACACATCCACTCATTCACCCATCTATCCACTTATCCACCAGCCTCCACCCACACTTATCCACCCACTCATCCATTGATCCATCCACCTACTCATCCACCCAGCCATTTATCCACCCACACCTTCATCCATCCATCCATCCACCCACCTACCCATCCATCCATCCACCCATTCACTCATCCACCCACACATCCACTCATTCACTCATCTATCAACTCATCCACCCAGCCAGCCATCCACCCACACTCATCCACCAGTTCACCCACTCATCTACCCATCCATCCATCCATCCACCAACTCATACACCCACCCACCCACCCATCCATCCACCCACCCACTCATCTACCCATCCATTTATCCACCATATCATCTACCCACTCACCCATCCACCCGTTCATCCATACAGTCCCTCATTTATCCATCCATCTACCCAGCCATTCATCCAACCACTCATCCACCAAGTCATTCACCCACCCACCCACCTATCCCTCCAGCATCCACCCACCTATCCACTAATTCGCCCACCCACTCCTCCATTCATTCATCCACTTACCCACCCATATCTCCATCCACCCACACATCCATCCATCCACCCACCTATCCACACACCCATCTACACACCCATCCACTAATTTACCCATCCAACAAATGTTTTGAGCACTAAATGTGTTCCAGGCACAGATCCAGATGCTGGGATACTGCAATGAACAAAACAACAAACTCCCGCCCTCACAGAGCTTGTATCCTAGCTGGGAGAGACAATGAATAGTAAACCAGATAAAATAAATAAATCATACATTGCTTAAGAAGAAATCAATGGTTGGAAAAATAGGGCAGGGTAAGGGGATCAGAAGTGGAGGAGGTAGCAATTTAAAGTTGGGTAGGGGAGGCTGGGTGTGGTGGCTCACGCCTGTAATCCAAGCACTTTGGAGGCCAAGG